GCTGGATAGCCACATCTCCTACTTATTGTCCATTTCTTCTGTACAGAGTACACTGTTTCTACCACTCTAGCCTTCCCAAGAGTTTTCTCTTCTCCAGAGGAACCGTGCTTGGAGGATTGACAAGAGTTAACCTTAACATCATTCGACAGATCGCTGAACCAGATCAGGGTACGGCAGGCGTTACTAGGGATGTACATCCATTAAAAAGGTCACACGTGGGGAGGGGTGCGGTGGCTCGTCTAGGTGGGGAATCATGCCGCGTTAGCTGCTCGCACCCCTTTCCGCCCGCGTTCCCCTTTGTACTGACACCCAGCACAAGTGGGTGAAGAGGGAGTGCGGAAGACACTGCGCAAGCCCGCCTCACAGTAAACTAAGTCCCGCGCAAATCGCCAGTACAGAGTCTTCACCAAGGCACACACACACGGTAGACGTGGTCACTTGTGGCGATCAAACTGTCCTGAGTGGCACGAAAACACCCTTCGTTCCGTGTTGGGGGCCTCAACATTTACTGGCAAACATATTTCTACGAAAGACAAAGTATAGAAAAATACTTTATTACATATATACAAATCACAAAAAAAGGTTAGTTTTGAATGGGCTAAACAGTACACAGAGTTAACGATTTTGTGCGGACAGCCCCCTTTAAAAGTTCCACAGCCTTGGCCTTCAGATTCTCGTGCTGACCGGAGCTTACCAGTTCACCCAACCTCGCCATGTACGATTCAGCGCTACTGATGGTGATACGCTCGAAGCCCTTGGCACTCGAGGGCGAGCGCGGCACGTCACCGTTGGTTGGAACTGGCAACTGTCGATAGAATTGAAAATGCAGACTTAAAAACAGCAACAAAAAAAAACAACCAGTAGAAACTGCTTATTACGAAAAAACAAACATTATCTCATGTAATTCGTATGAAGAGTGTATTATGACACAGTGTGACATTCATCAGCTCAACGTCATATTCGGATTTATTTGCTGTTAACCGCATGTTAGGATTTGGCCCACTTGGCCGAAGCATTTGTCTTTAAGCTTGCTTAGTCATCCACCGTTGTTCTATGCCCCATGTTCTTTGTCCCATGTCCCGACCCTTTGACCTCGATGACTGCCTTCTCGTTCGTTGACAAGCCGC